GAATAGCATCTCAGTCAGAAGATCAATCTGACACTTCTGAGAACAAGAGAAAACCTAAGAAAAGTCCCACAGGAAGAAGTGTGAGAACAAGAAATCAGAAAAATAAATAAAGTTCATTTTTTTTTTTTACAAATAATTATCAAATTTAAGTTGTTTATTAATATAATTATTAGTCTCTTTTACTAATTCCTAATTCGTAACATTGTAATTAAATATAGTTCTCTTAGTTTTTAATTTTCTTTGGTGGAAAGGTGGTAAATCGTATTATTGTAAACCAAAAACAGACAATAATTTATTTTACAGGTTATTTTGCGTTTAGACTTAAATAAAATAGATAGGTATTTCGTAATTTAAAATGTATCAATTTATCAATGATATAAATTTCAATCCATTTAATACCACGGAAGTGCATACAGTAGAAGAGGTAAAGAGATACCTTAATAAAAACATAGACTCGAACTTTACTATATTTCAGCAAAATATTAGAAGTGTAAGAAAAAATTTAGATGAGTTGAAGGTCATCTTATCAGATATAGACTATTCTTTCGACTGTATTGTACTCACAGAAACGTTTATAGTTGAAAATATACATTTTTTTAATTTGGACAATTATAATTTAGTTTATAATCAGGGACAAATAAATAGTCATGATGGTTTGTTACTTTATTTAAGGAATAATATAAAATTTGAAAGTAAAATAGTTTCTATCGGTAATTTTAACTTTCTTCAAATAAAAATATATAATAATGAGTCTGACAAAAGTTTTTTAATATCTGGAATTTACAGGCCTCCTTCCACAGAGGTGAATAATTTTCTTCATTGCCTTCGAGAATATCTGGAACAAATAAAATGTAGCACTATTGAAAATCATGTATTTTTAGGAGATATTAACATTAATATATTAAATGCACATGAATCCTCAGACTACATGGATGTGATGGTAGAATTTAATTTCAATTCTCTAATAAATGTACCTACACGTATTAAAACATGTTTGGATCATGTATTTTTAAAAAGCAAAATATCTAATTTAGAAGAAAATATATTAGCATTAACATTTGATGCTATGATAACAGATCACAAAGCAACTATAGTAGAATTAAAATTAAATTTTAACTGTAAATTTAAAAATGAACGCAAAAATTTGGTTGAATATATAAACTACAGCGCCCTAAAACAAAAATTAAATAGTCATGATTGGACGCCCTTCTATAACTTAAATGACGTAAATATAAAAACAAATCACCTAGTTAAACTACTTAGTCAAAGTGTCGCACTTTGTACAAATGTCAAAAAAATTAAACGGACCCAGATTAAAAGAAAAGATTGGATAACGCAAGGTATTATAAATTCAATTGCCACTAAAAACATGTTATTTAACGAATATAGGAATAATCAGAACCCCACTACCCTTTTAAAATATACTAAATATCGAAATAATCTAAATCGAATTATTAAAGAAACTAAAAAAAAATTTTATAATAATAAAATAAATAAAAATAAATATAATAATGAAAATTTGTGGAAAATAGTTAGGGAAATTGATGTACCAGTGAAAAAAGATAGTATAAAAAAAATACTTACTGAAAGTAATGAAATTCTTATAAGCGAGGAAGAACAGGCCGAAAGCTTTAATATGTATTTCTCCAAAGTAGGAGAGAAACTGGCCTCAAAAATAATTCCTCCACTATCGCCCAAACCTGGAAAAAATAGCACAATACAGTCATTCTTTTTAGAACCTGTAGATATAAATGAAGTAAAAGAAATTATAAAAACGTTAAAAATAAACAAAACACCAGGGTATGATAAACTAAAAAGTGAGATATTTAAGGAAATAGTTCATGAGATTGCAAATCCCCTTAGCCATTTAATTAATAAAATTTTTGAAACAGGAATTTTTCCCACTGACCTTAAAAAATCAGTGGTTATCCCAGTTCATAAAAAAGGACCCAAAAATAAAATGAGTAACTACAGACCTATTTCCTTAATTACCACTTTATCAAAAATCGTGGAAAAAGCTTTGAAAAATAGACTAACTAAATACATTGATAAATATAATATTATAAGTTCAAAGCAATATGGTTTCCAAAACGGCTTATCTACCACTGATGCTATGTGTCATCTAACAGATATATTGTACAGTAATATAGATAAAAGCGTTCCCACAATGTGTATTTTTCTTGACCTGGCAAAGGCTTTTGACACTGTATGTCATATGCAGCTGTTGGAGGTCTTAGAGGAAGTGGGTGTCAGAGGTAAATCTTTGGACCTTTTCTCTAGTTATTTAAGTGAAAGGGTTCAAGCAGTAAAAATAAATAAATATGTAAGTTCTTATAAACCTATAAAATATGGTGTCCCACAAGGTACTATACTCGGGCCAATTTTATTTCTCCTATATATTAATAAATTATTGGTTTCAAAAGAAATAAAAGGAGAAGTAATAAGCTTTGCGGATGACACATTAATCTTATACTCGGCTAAAACTTGGGACGCAGTTAAAGAACTTTGTGAAAATGATTTAAAAAATGTGTTTGATTGGTTTTCGCATTACAAATTAACAATAAACATGGATAAGACATTAGCCATTCCATTTGCAAGCTATAAAACAGGTCTTCCTAAATTGAATAAACTTACAATCATAAATCATGGACACCAAATAAATATTTTCCTCAAACATGAGGCTAAATATCTAGGAATTCATATAGATTCTCATTTGAAATGGGATAAACACATAAATAACATTGTAAATAATTTAAGACAAGTTTTATATAAATTTAAATATATGAGAAATTGTTTAGACATAACTCACCTGAAAATTTTATATCACGCATTTGTGGAGTCACGTTTATCATATGCCATATTAGTCTGGGGCTCATTTAAAAAAAAAATAATTAAAATAATGTATTTTAAAGATATAACTTACCCTTCAGACCTATTGTTTCAAGAAACACATATTTTTGATATTCGACAACTCTTCGTTTATAATGTTGCAAACTATCTTTACAAAAATAGATCTTCAATCTGTGGAATTGAACACACTTATGAAACTCGAACTAGACATGCAGGAAATACTAGAATTCCTATTGCCAAAAAAGCATTAGGTCAGAGGAAACTGAGTTATTTAGCAAAAAAAATTTATAACTTTTTTCCAGATATTTACAAATTGTACATAAGGACTATAAATTCATATAATCTTTTTAAGTCTAGAATAAAATCATTTCTTAAAATTACCGATAGAAATATATTACATTCTTTGGTAGATAGTTGTAGTTAGTTTAAAATATTCGCATTAAGTAAAAAAAAAAAATGATAAAAAAAAAACATTAGGTACATTACATTACTTCATAGCTATAATTTATATGTATATTATAATGCTGTTAAAAGAAAAAAATTAATAAATAGAGCAAATAATTTAAATAAATTATCAAGCCCATGCACAACCCTTAGGTTTTATGGGTCACCTGTGTTTATTTACAATATTTATTATATTTGTAATTTTTATTTTAGCGTATCACTGTAAAAACAAGTTATCTGTAAATAAACATTATTATTATTATTATTATAGATATTTTTCTTCCTATATCAAATCTTTCTAACGTTTTAAAGCCATTTTCTTGTTCTAAAACAATAAATAATACATAAACACCTACTTTGTGACAAAAGTTGATTACTATTTGTGTTACATGAATAGATCTTACCTACTTTGGTTAATTAAAAAACGCCACATTGGGGTTGTTAAATTTGTTCATGTGGCATGTGTTACTAATGCAATACGTTCTCCGACTTATTGTAATATTACAAAATATAATTATTGTCCTTAAATTTCACACAAAAACAGCCACATCTATTTCGCTTAGTTCATCTAGAGGATAACACAATCATGAACTCAAAATTTAAAATTTAAATTCAGGATTCTTCGATATACATAAAACTGACATTTATATTTACAAACTAACCACTGCTGTCCACGTTTACTGTCTGTCTCAGTGTTGCCAACCGTACGATTTAAATCGTATTTATACTATTTTTTAACTCTCTGTCTTCGATGCTCGAAGACGATGTACGATTTCATTAGTGAGATCGTACGTAAAAATACGATATTTACTTTTTTAGTAGGTTTATTTAAATATCTGCAACAAGTTCAGAATATAAAACAATAAAAATCAAAAACTACTTGCAAAGATTCATAGGCCGTTCGTAATTTCTGAAGGCAGTCATTTTCGTTCTGACTTGACCATGATTTTGACCATGGTGATTTTGTACACCGACTATCACTTTCAAGTGACAGTCATTGATTAAATTAAATGTGTTAATTTAAAATTTCATGTATTTTCTTTAGTTTTTTTTGTTGTAAACATTTTTATAAATAGATAAATAAATTATCACATCAAAGCTTTTTTTTTATTCCATTTAAGTTATATTATACTATGCATGTATCTATTGTACAATTTTTGTGTCGAAATACATTTTTCTTTTTTCTACTCTACTTGTACGATTTCTCAAAAAAAATATTTGGCAACACTAGTCCCTCTACAAACGACGTAGATATTCTGTCTTCTTGTCAGTAGTGCCACATTAAAACTCAGTACTCAGTTATTATGGTCGGCAGCATGTTGGGGTTAAAATTGTTTTACGATGTTTTCTGAAATTTCTGAGATATATGCTTTTGTTTCATTAGTAAAAATGTAGATAACACATTTTGATTCAATTTGTTATTCCTTACGGCATTACTAACAAAATAATAATAGATTTTGTTTACAAAATTTAATAATAGATTGTACTAGCGTATTCTCATTTTCGGATTTAAGAAACTAACGTTTAACCTTGGCTGGGTGTAATGAGGTCTCAAAAACCCCACTGATATTTTTAAGCTAAATCACCTAAATAGATATTCTTTTAGCACTAGTTATAAGGCCAAAAGCCAATTCTGATTCATTTTGTAATAATACAGTTTTTTATTAATCCTTAAAGGAAAAATGTAATTAGAAAAAAAATCTTACCGAAAAGTGCTATCCAAGGACCTTCTATACCGACTATTCACAGAATCAGGACTTGATTTTTCCTTAATGAATACACTATCACTATCTTCATACATCGAAAAACTCTTAATCACTTCACTACTTTCCTTTTTTTGTAAAAAATTGGTACCTGCCCTTTTGACAGTACCACTTCTCGTTAAACTGCTGCTTCCATACAATGTGGGATCGCTCATAGTATCATGCTGATCATCGAGAATGTGTTCTTGGTAAAAGGGGAATTGATTACTTGTAGAGCTACCTGGAAAATTGTTAAAAAAAATATATATTATTGGTCTTTTATTTTTACAATAATATGTTCAATCCTCAAATGCCACAAAAACACCTTCATTAAATTTACTGTCTCTCTGTCGAAACCCCATAGAATAATTAACCGGCTATTTTATTTGGCAAAAAGCAGAATAATGCTTGGCTGTGCCTGTCAAGTATCAATATGTCAACTCTGATGTGTGAATGGCTCTTAAATGTCAAATTATTTAAAAATGTATGATTCTTTTGATATTTGTTGCAAATAATTTGTAGTGTATCTCAATTCAGGCTTTCCATAAATAAAGGTACAGCAAGACAGATAATATATTGTTCTTATACAACGCACTTTTTTATTATATAAAAGAGAGGTAGAATATAATGCTGGTTTTTTTTGTAGATAATTTTAATTATACGATTTTGGATTACATATTCAATTGTAAATAATAATTAGTAAAGTCCTAGTGATTAATTTCCTCAATTCATAAAATTTAAAAATGAATCTTTTTACCTTGGGACTTTAATGACGTAATGTGATCAACCCATTTCAAATTTTGATCAATTATGATACCGAGGTATTTTGTTGTGTTTTTCATTTTAATTATAAAGTTGTCATTTATTTTTATGTTGAAAGAAGGTCTTTGCAAATTACTGTAATGAAGTCAATTTATCCTTAATCAGTTTTATTTCATTTATAATTTTTAATAAATAATAAACGCTCTCGAACTGCTTGTCCTAGGACCATATCTTTTTGAGTAATAGCTGCGCACCGCCGATCGACATATCGATGCGCGGTGGTACTGGTCGTTGGTGGGAATTTCTCTCGCTTTCGTCGCGAATTAAAAGGATTTGGAGAGGCACTTGATTTCAGCCAGTTTAAAGTAGAAGCCGCATTTAAATTAGGTCCGCCGTTGATAGATTTTTCGTATCGTGTTTATTAATCCGATAGGTAAAAAACCTTGCTTCAGTTTTTTATAGAAGAAACGTTTTATATTTAAACAGCATTTAGTTTAATTTAAAAACCGATTTATCTTTTGAAAATAGGAAATTTTTTATTTATTGTTCAATTAAAAGATATAGTAGGATTTCATTAATAAATATTAGAATTTCGTTCTTTGCAAATAGAATGCTTTTGTTAACGATACTGTTGTGAAAAAGATTTAAGGAATGTAACTTTCCTTTTTGTTAGTCTCATACCGGTAATTTAATTTAATTTAATTTAATTAATAAATATTAGAAGTTGGTTCTTTAAAAATAGAATATCGTTTCTTTAAAGGGAATTGAATTTGATTTAAATAATAAATGATAGGATTTAGTTCTTTAAAATTGTAATACCGTTGATTTAGACATTTGATAGTTAGTCTGACCTAAGAAATTAAACTTTTCTTTTTGGTAGGTTAAATCGGGAATTAAATTTGATTTAATTGATAAATACTTTTGTTTAGTAAGTGCCGCGTTATAAATAAGTTGGGAATATTTAGAAACAGAGTTTTCGAGGAGACGTTTTCCCTCTTTTAAAAGTTTGCTTTCTCTTTCATCGCCAATTTAAATAATCTTAAATAGCATCCTATCCCTGTTTGAGCGGACTCGTGATGACGATCAGCTCATTCTTGGATTAGGTACTATCCGCGTTAGTTTTTCTTCTTCTCCTTGTATTCTTTATTTTTTACGTGCGAATCGCAAATTTAAAAAATCCTAAATAGCTTCATTACCCTGTCTGAGCGGGCTCGTGATGAAGATCAGCTCATTCTGGGATAATAGGCTACCCCGGGCATACATTTATTTTTTTTTCCTTTCCGAATATTTACTACAAGTAGTTCATTCACAATCCTGTTTTCTCGCACTCTCTGCGACCGTATAGATAATTTTTCCTTGCCGAAATAGTAAAGTACACTTTAGTTTAATTCCCGCTGCGACAGCTAAATAGTTAATTTTTGCTACGACCGCTCTTCCCTTACCGAAATGGGAAATTATGTTTTAGTTTAATTACCGACTAAGTAGTCAAGTTAATTTTTCCTGCGACCGAAACACTTATTTTATTTTAATTCAATTTTGACGTCTGATTGAGACTAGTCGGGATTCAATAACGTCCGTTTTTGTTTTGTTTTCTTTGTTCAGGGTTATATTGACTATCATGGCAACGAGGGTGGGCGTTGAAATATATATTTTTATATTTTTCAATTTGTAAATAGTTATTCACGATATGTGTCATTGTAATCTGGCCGTATTACTAAAGAAATTCTAATACCTTGCTTTACTTCCCCCTTAACTTTCAGCTAGTGAAATATTGTTTATAAGCGCAAGCGACGATTAAAGCCCGTCACTTATGGATACCGATTACCTGGGTCTACGTAATCTTCGATCCCTGGAATTTTTCATCTCCATCTGTAGCTACCCGAGTACTTTCGACGCCGCTTCGAGAGTTTGTGGAGTAAACCACAATAAATAATCTGGCGCCCGAGAGCCGCCTGTAATCAGCGCCATTCGCAAGGAAACGTTTTCTCTGTGGCGAGAAAACCCCTTACATTACATTGCTCTCTATGGATCTACTTTAACACAAAAATAGTTTTGTGGCTATAAGTTGCTATAACCTATCGTCGCAGAACTATTAATAATTTAAACATAGTAAGTAGTAAAACGAGAGGTAAAATAACAATAAATTAAGGGAAATACTTAAAAAGGGCAGGTTTAAAGAGTATTATCACAAGAAAGTATATCCGTTCTATTTATTTATCAAGTATTGTTTGAGGTTGCGTTTGAATACATTTATTGTTGTTTTTTTTTTAATTTCTATAGGCAGTCTATTAAATTTTTTATACCTTTAATAAAAATTGTATTTTGGGAACTTTTAGTGATGGCTTGCCGTACATAAAAGTCAAATTTGATTCTTGTATTATAGTTGTGATATTGTGAATTATATTGAATTTTTTCTAATAGATCTGATGCGATGGATTTATGAAATTTTTATTTTATACAAAAATATCAGTCATGTACTGAACATAATTCTGAACTGAAAGCCAATTTATTTCTTTTAACATAGTTGCAATACTCATTCTTCTGTCCTTTATTACTAGAATATAAATAGGCGAAGTAAGGAGCCCAAATATTTTACATAAGCAGGCCTAAGAGGTAAGGGGGACAATTATTATTGGATACATTGCTTGAACAAGTTTTTAAACCCTAATCAAAACGCGATATAGAATGGTTTTAAAAATCAAGGCTTGTGAAAATCATCACATGATTTAACCTAAGTAATGCCAATGCTTCACAAAACAAAAAATTCAACGTCCTAATACTACTAGCAGCTTTCGGTCTTTCGTTCCAAGTTAAATCATTTCTCGTTTTTGTTACGCTACGAGTTTACCCTTATGGGCCTCAGTCTCGATAAGGTGGGAACCACCATTTTAGCGCCTCTCGAATTTACAATACAAATATTTCATTAGAAAACTTACTTGACATGACACGTTAGCTCACTCCACAACGAATACTTTTAACACTCGTGGCTCAACCTCCTAAGAGGGGTAGTTGTTACCCATAAAATCTTTAATGTGAAAGGGGGGTCAAGTGGCACATCATTTAAAAGGGCGTTTAATTATCTTTTCAATGGCACCCTAATTTATAATATCTTCTGACCAACAGGTTCCGAAAAATTGCGTTTCAAAGCTACAGAAGTTGGAACGTGCCTGCAGTGAGTTCTCGGTTTTCATGTTAATATTTAAACAATAATTATTGTATTGGGTATCCTTTTAGCAGAAATGGCTAGAAGATTAGGTCTCAACTAACTTAAAACTTTAAAAGTACTCCAATAGTAAAATTTTGATGGCAATTATACTGCATTTTTCAAATGGTGTATTTTTAATTCTTGTCGTTGAAATTCCACAGATAGCCTGGCTTTTTTGCTATTTATATTTTTTTTAAATCTTGAAATAGCGGCTTTTTGTTAAGTAAAATAAATGTTTAGCAAATTTTAACCATTTAGTATTAGTATTGTTAATCCAGTTTTATTTGTTGGGCTGTTCAAGAGATACCGTTAATTAAGTGAATAAACTTCAAAAATGGTTTACTCTCTACAGGAAAGAATCAAAATGATTTTCGCTTATGGAGAGGTTGGAAAATGCGCACGAAGGGTGGCATTTCTTTTTAATGAAAGAAATCTTAATCGTAATATCACAGGTACCTATATTCTCGATTTGATAGTTTTTGGAAACTGATTCAGTGAAAAATAGAAAAAAAAATAACCGACGAGTACTAAATGAAGAAGCCCAAATTAAGGTTTTGGGAACATTTGTTGCAGTGCCAACTAGCTCCATATAACCAGTAGCAGAACAGATGGGAATATCACCGAAATTGATATATGCCGATTACTGTGATTGATTGTTTATCATTTTTATAAGAAACTTCGTTTTCCAAAGCATTGACAATTCCCTTGAAACATGTTTTAACAGCGTGCAAGTCGTATATCGACACACCCAACGAGTATCGAACAGATTTTTCAACTCTCTGGGGACAATATTGAGATTTTTTAATATTTGTTTGTATTTGGTATGGTTCTGTGGATCTGAGAAATGTTCGTAAATTGCTTCCAAGGTACAAAAAAATGTCGTTAGTGATGGAACTTTTTTTGAGTCTACCATATCCAAGTTAAGTCTATAAGCTAAGCAGTGCGTGTAAATTGCAGCTGGATATTTGTCTAGCTATTTGCTTGGAGACCATTTATATTACCCGACATCACCGCAGCTCCGTCTGTAAGTCGCTAAGATTAAACTCTTCCAATTTATTGGAAATTAAATTGAATAAATAATAAATATAAGTAAATTCACCTATTACGTTTTTTTGATATGCAGTTTTTTATTTAAATCTTTCAGAGGGGGCCAGAGGTACATCAGGAGGGGCCAGTCTCCCCCTGGCTCCTCTCTAGCTTCGCCAATGAAAATAACCACTGAAATGGCAAATTTTTTAATCATACTATCGCGTTGCGTCGTAATAATATATGCA